ACCTAAATATTTAGGTTGCAACTTAAATATTTAGGTGCTACCTAAATGTCTAAGTAAATATTTATCTTGTTAACTAAATATTTAATTTGTAAGTTAAATATTTAGTTTATAAACTTTGACATTTATAAATGTATGAACCATTTGGTGAAAAACTGACTTTGAAAAATAAATCTGTTCTTTTTTTCTTATAAAAGGTTAAATAAAGCAAAAATATTGGTGGTAATGTTTGACTGTAACTTTACAAACGGAACTCCATACTGATGGGCAAAAACGGTGCAGTTTCTGGAATTTCCAGACGCTACCGGGGGCTTTTATTTTGAAAATTAGGGTGTCCGACGATTTCCTCCGGTTCTTACCCTTAGTTTAACCCTTACAAAAAATAAAACATGTCAAAAGTCTTTTGGGGATTTTCCGGGGCAACTGTTAGGAGGTTAAATAAAGAAATCGGTGGAACAAGCAGGCCTCATCGTTGTGCTCACACTACCTGATCTCCATTCTGTTACAGGCGTCAGCACGAGCAGGGACAGGAGAAGCTCTGAGGCATCCATCAGCTGAAAGAAACAAAGTCAAACTATAATATTTGCAGAGTTTCCACAGGTGAACCGTTTCTCATGTATACATGTTGCTGTATGTAGTGGCAGAGCAGTCCCACCATGCCCACGTCGTGATATCCTTGAAAGACCAACTGCTCCCTGATGCTATAACTGCCCGCTGCTCCACTTGGCTGTTTCTCACACATGATGTCAACTGCAGATTACCACTTTCATCAGTTTATGACAAATAAAGTACCATTATATATAAACAAGGCCGGATTAACCATATGGGCAATTAGGCCATTGCCCAGGGGCCCACAGTCTCCAAAGGGCCCTAGGCAGTGAAGGCACGGACACAACGGATGCAGGATATGCGTGAGACATGTCTCCCTGCACTTCCTGCATCTGCGCTCTCTGTCCCCACACTTTTCTCAGCCTTAACAGCTGTTTTCTCCATTATTAACATATGGTAAAGCATTTTTCTGAGCCGTCTTTGAACGCACCATAAGCGTGGGCAAGCTACTCCTGCAGATGAGATGACGATAGGAGCTGCTGTGCTGAGCAGAGCCTGTCGGTGTAAAGAGCAACTAAAACTTGGCACAGTTTTTACCAAACAAACCATGTAAGTTGAGTCATGCTGTTGGAGGCAGATAATGTTAGTTAAATGATGAGTTACACATTATATAATGTTTAGCTAGTTAACATGATTAGTTGT